GTCCTGAAAGTTTACCCACTTCGAACACCACTACTGCCTGTAAAATCAAATCGATGGAAGTTTCACACTTCTCGAATGATTTCACACAGCTTCCAAGTTAAAAACATCCGGAACCAGCCCGGAGAGGTTGTGGGTGTATGAACAATGCGTCGCATTCGGGACCGGTAGTGAGTGCGGGGAGGGGGGAGAGAGAGAAGGACAGAGCAGTGACGTTTTGTGTACACGTACTCGCCCCTTCCCGGCGAGGCCCGTAAAGACCTCCCAGATTTGTTATGTAGTGTAAAATGGTTAATGGTTGCCAGTTGGTGGTCTGAATGGGATATTAAACTGACGGAAAGATAGTGTTAGCAGGCGAGTCAGATTGAAGCAGTAAAGGTGGAAGGATTCGGGGCAAACAGATGCATGGATAAGCCCAATTTGATCAATACAGTTCGGGATTCGGTGGAGCCAGTCAATCGGTAGTAGTAGTAAACACTTGCTCTTTCTTTCGTCATTTACCTCCCGATCGAAGCGACGATCTCCCGGTACTGGCACTTCTCACACCTACAAACATGCACCGTGGTCTCGCGCAGAAGCGATCATTGCCTTTTCAATGTGCAGTTAATAGATTGTACCGTGTTTTAGGGGTAGGTTTGTCGTTAAATCCTTCACAGAACAAAAATCGAGTGGGGAGTTAATCAGCCGCTGATGATAGACAAACTCACCGCCACCAACAGCAGCATGACCACCTCACAGGCTACAAAGGTCGTACATCTTCATTGCTGCCCTCCTCAAAAAGCGTACTACAAGGCGCCATTTTATCCTTTTTTCTATTTTCTCCTTACATTTCCTCTGTGCCTGTGAGCATTTCTTCTTTTCTTGTTAAGTATGCAGACGATATAATATTCGGATTGTCCTACTCCAGCCCATCATCTCAGACCATGCAACGAGATGACGTGACAGAAATAGTGAGATGGTCTCAACAACGGAACATTCGAATGAACCCCCAAGAATGTAGTGACGTATTTTTTCTTTTTTGAAAGGGCGACCAGATGGAACGACAACCGTCTGTCAAAAACCTTAGAGTTATTCTCAACCGTAATCTCACCTGGTCTGACCACGTTAATGACGTTTTTCTGAAGGTCTGGAGGCTCACATTTTATGTTTTACGTCTTTAATTACTTTCCATTCCAAATCATCAAATAAGGCATTTTGTTTTTGCGTGCGTCCCCTGTCATCTTACATGATCTTTTTAACAAGAGCCTCAAACTCAAGTCCCGATCCCTAAAATTTCTGTCAGTTTATAGTCTCATACCACGGGAACATCTGGTTCGGTATGCGGTGACATATCACATCAAGTCCTGTAAAACATTCTCCACCACGACTTTATCTGATATTTCCCATTCTCTTTATTCCGAACTTAGTCAGTGCCTTTCTCACTCATTCACCCGTTCCACTCAAAAACCTATAAAAACACACTCTGAAGCTTACAGCCGGTCTATTGTCCATTATCTCGCCAGATTTCTAACAAACTATGAACTCGTTGCAGGAACTTTGGGCAAAAAACGGTAAGCTAACTCAATCAGAAACACCCGGATATGCCATTGGTTTCTGATATTGCTGTTCTCTATCACCTTTAATTGCTGTATTATCTTGTTATTTTTTTCACTTTATGTTGACACACTGTGGTTATGTGGTAGTTGAATACCCGCCTCTCGAGGTGTATAAAGCCATTCCCTGACTGACTTGATTGATGGACTACAGTCAAACACAAAACTGGAGTCGGTTACTGGCAATCACGTCCCTTCTCCGGTCTGTTCTACAGCAATACTATTAGTAACCTAAAAGCCATTATCACTGCAAACCCTTCTATGCGATTGACTATCTATCAAACAGTGAGTGCACAAACCAGTTCGATTGACTGGCCAAACGGATACAAGCTTTGTACACACAAAAAAAACATACAGGTCTCAGGAAGCCCCGGACCGGTTTCTAATTAAGTATGCGTATCTCGTGTTCTCGTCTGACAAGTCATTTACTCATTGGCATTCCGCGGCATGTATGCATGCATGCCTTGCCGAAACCAATCAATGCACTTGGGAGTTATCCTCAGAGTAGGCACTGCAATGATCAGAAAAATTTCATTGTTTAGACGGATCTTTTCCTATCAGATATTCTCAGCTACGTACGATACGAATTTGTGGAGAAATAGTGATTTTTACCGTTCTTATGTCTTTGCAGTCTCATGTCCCATACTAAATGAACACGACGGATTATTGTAGCGGAAACAGTTGTACAACACTTGTCTGACTGTGATTCCCAGTCGCAAATGTGTTTTGCTCTACGGTGCAGAGACTTGGGCACTACGGGAACGGGATAAAAATAGATCATCGGTGTTCGATTACCGCTGTTCACGTCTGGTGCAGAAACCGTACACTCAATGCTGAGGTTAAAGTCGAGTTTTAGGCAGTCGCGGACGTCCACTGGGGCAAGCAGTTGACCTCCTACATTAATTACGCTGGTTGGGGCATGTGTTATGCATGTCACCAAATAGATTTTCACGACAAGCGATATTCGTCGAGGCCGGTAGCGGTTGGAAAATGATCGGAATGGAGGTCAAACGAAGACCTGGCATGAGGGTATGAGAACGCTAACCAGGAGACTGGGTCACATCGGTCCCGTCGGGCTCCCCGGCTGGGGACACCGAGATCATGAACACCGATGGCTAGAGACACTGAGCGATATGACTGGGTGTCGCAAACAGTGGCGCTCATGTATCTACCCATTATCCTTGTAACATCAGTTTATATATATATATATGTATATATTCTACCAAGACCATCAGGTCACGTTTGTTGCGGTTAGTAGCATCTAACCCACTTACAAAACATCGAATCATAGCATTGATTCTTCATTGGACTGGCTCTGAAAGAGCTGTCTATCCAATGGTTACCCGGTGTTGCAAACAACGTTATTGTGACGAAAATACACTTCCTGG